GCACTGTTGTCGTGTCCCTCACTTTGGCTTATACAAGTCCTTTGCTAGTTCCTCACAGCCCTTTCCCCTGTGCACACATGCTCCAGGCATCTCTCCCTCTGCTTATGTGGACACTAGCCCTATTAGATCAGGGCGCTACTCTTGTGGCCTCATTTGAACTCAGCTACTTCCTTAGTGCTCCTGTCTCCAAATACATTGAACCTCAGCACGTGAATTTGGTGGACCCCATTCATTCTATGATAATATATTTCATTGAGAAGTTAATAAAAGAAAGGTAGGTGTTGGGGCCAGGAAATACGGAGATGAATAAGGCACTACACTAACCCTCAGAGACCTCAAACGTCTTTGTGGGGATATTCACACATGTACAACTACCTAGAGTACAAGCCAGCAATGAAAATGGTAAATATTAAAACCTAAAAGATAAGATGCTACAGAACATAGAGTACCAGGGGACGAGTTTAAAGATGTATATGATGGAGTATGCTATGGAATGATCATCCATGTAGTGTTGGGGAAGATGGACTGGTGTAACAGATTGAAAGCTAAATTAAAAATCAGTAGAGTTTTACCAGAAGATGATCAAAGAACGTTCAGCTAAAACCATGGAAATGTGAAGGAAGACAAGGAGACAAATCTGACTTTCAAAACATAACAGAAACAGAATTTAGAGAAACTGATAATTTCTTTCACAAAGACTTTTGAGGGAATATTAATTTCTTAAAACTTTCTCACTTCACTTAATTACCTTCTACATCTTCTTGATTTATAGTTCTATTGGTATAAGTAGCAAAATACCCTTAATTCAATCTAGTTTTCTTTATTCTGGCCACCTTTTTCAAATTTTCACAAAGATATACTTTAGTTTTATAAATTTAAACATACAAGACATTGTCAGCAAATACTGAGAATAAAAACCTAACGACAAATCCCCAAAAGCTTTAGCGTGACTAAATTCCATAATAGTAACACATACTTAGAAATTTTATCTCAAAGTTAACCTGAAAATACTATATTCATCTCATTCTCAAAGTCAAAATCAGTTGGCCATCCTTTCTCTTTTTGTGTCAACAGTAACACTGTTTGCCCTTCTTGTAGCTTTGAAATCATCTTAAACTTCATCTTTGATTCTTTATACAGTAAATTACAGACATGAAAGCTTTCTTATAATTTTAAAATGCCTATATAACATTCACACTTATTACCAGATTTATCCTCAACACTACCAGAATTTACCCTCAACATTACCAGAATCTTCTAAACCAATCTGACTACAGTATCCACATCAGCTTTCAAAGATGTGAACCTATCAAGACACTGACATGTAAAACCTGCTTGAACTGCTTGGTCCTCCCACCTGAGTGAGTACTTTCCTGTAGAGACTGCATCCAATCTTCTATCTATGTTTGTCTCCCTCAGACAGACCTTGTTCTGACCACAGCCATATCTTGTTCAGTCAAATCCCCATCACACTGCTTCAGAACTTCTATGCACTCTATGTTTGCTAATTAATTGATTAATAAAGCCCATACCTAAGGAAGTTCACATCAGTGATCTCATTGAGCATAGGGCTGCATAAGTATTTCCTGTCACTCCTGCTCAAAAAACTCGAGCACTAGGCCAGGCTGTTAAATTTCTTTATATCTGAGAGAGCCTAAAACAAAGCTGTAAACTTCAAAACTGCCTTGCTGATGCTTGTATTTGATGTATGCAGTATCTCCTCAATGCTGCACGAAATGGAACCAGTATCAGATCCAAAGCACATTTCCCTACTCCTCCTACGTTAATAAGTTCTACCCAAAAAATCATTTAATGTGACCATTTTTTTCAGATTGTCTTCCAAAGTCTTTTGAGCCAGTGTGAAGAATTTGCCAAATCCTGGACACTGTAGGATTCCATCTCTGCTTTATTCAGAAGCAAAAGAAAAAATATACAGTCTTCTGCAACAGAGATCAGAAATCAAACTTAAAAATTGAGTTCTATAGCCAAAGCCAACTATTTACTACTCTCCTGTCTTCTTTTAAATGCTGTCTTGCCCAGGCTCCTAAAAAGCTTATGCCATCATCTAACTGCCTACTGCCAAGTCACCCCATCATTTCTGAGCCAAATAGTTAAGCTATGGAAATAAAATATAAGCCCTGTCCTCACCCCACTCCCGCTCCTTTTCTCGAAACTGAAAATGCTTTATTTATATAGGTTGCCTTGCTGAAGGAGGCACAAACCATAGGGAACAATATTAAAGAAACTAATATTTTATAGGTTGCCTCTGCAGTGTAAGAAAACATATTTTAACTTTATGCTATTGAGAACACTATACTAAGTTCACATGCAGCAAATGGGTGATTCAGTGTACTATCCAAATGACATGTTCATAACAACGATAAAGAACATTTGTAAAGTGTAGCTCCCATATATCAAGTACTATACTAAGTGCTGTATACACTTTTTTGTACATACTCTTATTTAGAATCCTCTGTGGTCACACTTATTCCTACTACGGATAAGAAAAAAATCAAGGTTGAAACAAGTCTAATATCATATCTAAGGTAATATAATTACTGAGCTAAGATAACCGTAGCTCAGTATGGTTCCTAAACCTATCATCCTAATAACTACTCCTGCCCAGGCTGAACTGGGAAGCCCAAATGTGAGGAATAATTACATGGTCAGAAAGACTCAATATCTCACAGGCTATTAACATGCTCCATTTTCCTAGAGCAATTTCACTCAATGGCAATGTAATTAGATATATTTAATATACTGCAACAAATATTACTATGAGATAAACGTCACACATATTTTTCAAATAAAATAGAAGGCATCAAAATACTGTCTTTGTTGAGATAGGATTGACTCAAGGTTTGTGTTAGACCTATGTCCTTCTCTCCTTTTCCTCTCCCACTCTGAGGGGTCTATACTTCATTAAAAGGCTCAGATGTGACCCAGGTGATTTCTCGCATTGGGAGGTAGATTCTAAGGACAGAGGCCTATGAGCAGACATAGCAGCGGTCAGTTTATTTAGATGAGCTGTTACTGCTCCTCAGACCATCCCTACAAAGAGGAAGATGCAGGGTTAGGTACCAAAACATCATTATCAGGTGATGTTCTAGACAAAGACTGAACAGAAGATCCCAGACTATTTAAAACCAGAAAGAATTCAAAGCTAGAAAGGCACAAAATACTTACCCTTCAGGTTCCAGACTCAGGATCTGCTGGACAGTAAAGAGAAACAGAAAGAGGGTTAGGAGGGGAGCAGAGGAGAGAGAAAGGAACAAGGCAGTTGAGACACTAGTGTTCAAACATCTTACCATTATGGGTAACCGCTGAATTTAGTCTTGGTTAGTATTCTAATATCATTGTTGCCTGAACCAACATGTAAGTCTATGTTATATTCGATGCATTCCTTACCATGTGAATCTCGGTAAGAGACAAAAATTAATCCCATCTGAGAAGCTCAAAATGCCAGACCTTCCAATATATCGCCTCTTTGTTGCTGATAAAACACATCTGCACACAGGCAGCTGCTCTCCTACCTGCCTCTCTCAGGACTTCTTGGAGCCTCAGGGCTAGAACCCACTGAAAGTGAAGCCCATCAGCAGATTCAGCTGTAAAAAGCTGAAACAAAACCAGGTGGAGGCAGGGACAGCTATTTGATAGTGTTGGAGGAAAGGAATTTTTGTATAAAATCAAAGGGCCTAAGAAATAGCCACATGCCCCTAAGCCAATGTTTTCCACTAGTGTTGGAAAGAATGAAATCCATAAATTCTACCTGTGGCTCTCCTTAAGGACAGATTGGCTTAACGTCTATTCAAACATGATTAACAACCAAATATGATGTTTTTTTCTGTGCTCCTTTTCCTCCATCTAGTGGCTAGAGAGCCAACTGCACTTGTCTTCCCTGTACAGAATCTGCAACAAGCACAGGATTTTTCCTGGTAAGTCAATGCAGGCGTATTCAGGCCTTTGCGGCTAGAAAACACCCCTGTCTTTCAGTGCACAAAATATCCATGGAGCTATGAAAAATAAATAATTTGTAGTATCCACTCTTGCCAGGGCCAGAATTGCATATTCTGAACAGTTTCATTTATTGATGACTGGTAAATTGGTTTTATAATTATAGACTTTCCTTTTGAAAATGCTACCTTTTCAGGATTATGATTATATCAGAAATTTTTGCTATACTTCAGCACAAATAATAGCAAAATGATAATAATGTTAATGATGATGACACAATGAAGCAACAAGAACTGGCACAAAAAAAAAATAGAAGTTTCTGTTATCAAATAAGAGATAGCAGAAGACCTGCACCTTCCTCTACCAGCAGATGAAGAACATACTTGGGAGATGGCAAAAGACATGGAGAGAACAAACCGCTAGCCCTCCACGGGCCTGGCTGGGCTTAGCTTGCATTTTCCCAGATTTGAGTACCAGAGCCACCCAACAGTAATCTAAACAATCAGTTTCTGTAAAATACTATCTTAAGGACAAGCGGAGCCCATAGAGAGACAAAAGTGCTTCTCAATGTGACACTGGCCAAGAACACAGTGGCCAAGGCCAGGGGTCTAAAGGTTCAACAAAGTCCTTATTAGATCAGCAGGATTTCTAGCCCAGAAAGAAGACACTCACAGGTCTCTAAAGAGTGACTTTGTTCTGTTTATTCTGTTAATTGTAGAAAAGTTACAATTAATGGTACTTAAAAAAGTACAACAGTCGCATACCTTGGGTTTCTATAAACCCACTTCAAAGTCAAACTTTCCTGCTTGCTACCCCATAAGATGACCTCAATCTGGCTGAGATACCCTCATTTTTGTCTATAAAATCCTAGAAAAGAGCCCTTTAGGCAACACATTCAGATCCCCTCCTGGATTTATTTGCCTGGGAGCCGTTTGCTTTGGTTTCACTGTAACTGCTCCTTTCAGCTTTCACTCTACAATAACCACTTTTGCTCAACCTCTTTTGACTTTCTACCGCGTAAGTCTTTTTGGATTGGGAGAACTCACCAGCTGGACATCGACAGTAACTTGCATTGGATCAGAGATGTGGTAATGGAGAATAAAAAAAATTGGTGGGGGAGAAATCTTCACCCATCTGAAAAACATGAAAACACTCTGCCTGAGGAACTTGATTCCAGGCCCCTCGCCAGTACGGATCCCATGTGGCTGAGCACATCTGCTCGGCTCCTCTCCTTCTCTCCAGGTCAGTAGCCAGCAAGTCCTTTGCTCCCTCTTCAAATGTATTGCAGTCGGTCTTAAACGGCAAATGTTACTTTAGCCAATGACAATATTATTAAAACATAGAATCTCCAAAATTAAAGAAAAAGCTTTTGTGGACCGTCTAATTCTTTCTTCACTTTATGGTAAGGATCTAGGTAATTTTGCCTATAATAGTCACAGACCATGCTTAATTTTTTAAAACTTTATTACAGTAAAAGATACATGACCATTAGCCCCTCTCAGAAGATTCCCCTTTGCTTCAGATACATTTGTCTCATTATTCTTGTGATTTCTGAAGCAGTTCTAGAAGTCTTCTTTGGTATCTTTAGTTGTGTTGTTCGGAGTAGATTCAAAACATTTACCTTTCATGGTCATTTTGACTTTGAGGAAGACCCAAAATTCAAACAGTGCTTTGGTTTCTGGTGAAAAAAGTGGATGATGATACACTGTAATGTTTTTATGACCCTGCATTTCTATTGGATGGCTTGGTAACAGCATTCACAGTACTGTATTTATTTTATTTACTATACCTTAAAGGCCCTGATGAAAGAAGACTTCCAGTACTGCTTCAGAAAATGCCAAGAACAATGAGATGATCTGTACGCAAAGTGAGGAAAAGTGATTTGAGCAGGTTTAATGGAGATGTGTCTTCTGCTATAATGAACTTTTAAAAATTGAAATATTCACCATATATTTTGATCACACTGTATATATAAACCAAAATTCAACAGTGTAGTTTAAAGTGCCTCTCCCAGGAAGAGAGGGGCAGAGTATCATTTGTATTCCATAATCCTTCCACTCAGCATACACTTTATGTGCTATTGATAGATTTACATAATTGATTGCCACAGGAAATAATTATTTTAAAACACAATTAATTTAATTACCAGCAGTGAAGTTTTTATCTATGTAAACTAGAAGACAAACAATCTAATGAACAGCTTAATCAAATTTCCAAATCAGAATTCAAGGTTCACCTTTCAGGAGGCTGGACAAAAGATTCCAATTCTTGGAAAAGACAAAACTGAGAAATATTAATTTCAAGCATTTGTGGTTTCTACCCTATCCACCATATGATAATCTTTATCTCAGACACCAGATGTTGTGCTACACTCAATACAGATCTCCTTCCTTGTATGTGTAATTTAATGGTAGGAATTTTTATCTATTGATCTAAGAGAAAGAGGAATATTCACAAGCATGTGTTGTGTACCACATAGCTTGCTAGACACATTTGTCTTTCCTCCATTTTAATTGTCACAAATATTTTATAATGGAAGTTAAAATGACAAAACCAAGATCACATAGCTGGCAGAGATTATAATGGGCTAAATAAAAGATGCCCTCCCTAAAATACATCCTTATCCTATTCTCTACAACTTGTGAATCTTTCCTTAAATGTCAAAAGGAATTTTGTAGATATGATTTGGTTAAAAATCTAAAGAGAGCCTAAAAAAAGAAAGAAAGAGAAAAACAAAAAGAATCAAGTTATAAAGTTGTACAATGTGTAGGTACAAACGCCCTAGAATGAATATGATCATTGTGTATGAACCTAAAATGTACCAATAAACTTAATTAATTAAAAATTTGTCCTACATTACCATATGACCCCTCTATGTGCTCATTTATATATCCTTTAAGATAAAAACAATAAAAACAGTGTTGTAGTCAGGGGTTGTGCAGAGAACAATTAAAATCAGGACATGGAATTTATAATATTATTTTATGATGGTCACCCAGAGTTAACACAAGAAAGTGCAGGAAATCTGCCTACAATACTAAAGACATAGAATATTTAGCCAAAGGCCTTAAACCCACAGCAATGTCCTACATGAGTCCAGATGAAAATCTAGAGCCCATGACAGTGCCTTCCATGAGTCCAGCTGGAAGTCTGGAGCCCACGAGCAAGACTCACTCCAGTCTGTTTTATGGATCCGTGCTGGGAAGGCCCAGAGGTCAATGGTGGAAGCTAGAAAGTCTATGCTAGTGGGTGAAGGAGCTGTGCTGGTAGGTTGAGGGTTCTACGCTGGAGCTGAAAAGTCACACTCACAACAAAGACCAAGGCCGTCCTGAAAAGCACCACAGCCATCCTCAGCGTCACAGAGGCCCTGAGCTTCTCCAACAATAAGTGCAGTTGAGTGCGTTCAAGGAAGCCAGGATGACGAGTTCATTTTGGAGACCAAGCAGCACACGTCTTCCCCTTTGTAGCCAGAAAGCAATGCTCAATGTACGGAGCAGAGCTTCTTCACCAGAACCAATGGCTCAAACAGCAACACCTAGAAGAACCCACTATGCCTCAACACTTCAAAGCATAGCTTCTCCTTCTCCATGTCTCTACTTATGCTGGCAACTTTCTTCAGGTGGAACATCTACGCTCAGCACCATGGTGATTTAATCTAGCTGGCATTAAGTTGATCACCAGTTTTTAATCTATAACAAACAGTGATACAGAATTTCAAAACAAAAACAAGATAGTAGATTAACAGTGGTTAATACATTATGTATTGCCATCTTCAAAGTAGCTGCTCAGGTTGCAAGAAATAAGTATGAAAAATTGATCAAAGAATATAGACACAAACTGTTTTTTTCAATGAGGAGAAATTAGTAGTATAATTATCTTAGCTATTTTTTTTCTTTTCCCTTCCTTTTCTCCTTTACCTTATCCCAGTTGTTCTTTCCTTTTGAGCAGTTTCTTCCCTTTCACAATATCTATTGCACAATTTGGATCTTACTTACTCTTTCAGTTTTTTGCACTAGGGAGATAATACAGTGTGTGCACATCTGATTTATTTCACTTATGAGTGTGGTCTCAAGTTGCATCCATTTACTTATAAAAGCCTCTAGCTTATCCTCCATTAGCATTTTATTATATAAAAATACCACATCCTTTATATCCACTCCTCAGCTGATTGGCATTTGGGTTCTTTCCAAGATTTAGGGATCATAAATTGTGCTGCTATAAATATGGGTGCACATATATTACTATAGTATGATATTTTTAATTATTCTGGGGAAAAAATAGAAAGGGAACATCTGGGATGGATGAGACTTCTAATCCTAGCTTTTTGAGGCATCTCCACACTGATTTCCACAGCGGGTTGTAGCAGTCTACACTCCCATCAACAGTGGAGGAGAGTTCCTTTTCCCCTATAGTCCTTCTAGCATTTGTTATTAGTTGATTTCTTGATGACAGACATTTTTTCTGGAATAAGATACAATCTCAGTTTTGTTTTAATTTTTATTTCTCAAATGACCAGTGATGTTGAGCATTTTTTCATATATTTATTTGCAATTTGTGTATCTCCATATGAGAAATGTGTATTCATCTCAGGTGCCCATTTTTGGATTGGGCCTTTGAATTTTGGGTGTCTCATTTTTTTTCAGATGTTCACATGTTCTACATACAAGTCTTTTGTCTGAGTTACATTTGGCTAAAAAATTTTTCCACTCTGTGGGTTGTCTTTTCACTTTGTTGATGATGTCTTTTGATGTGAAAAATCTTTTTAATAAAATGAGATGCCAGTTGTTATTAAGTATTTCCCATACAGTTTGAGTTTTTTCATGAACTGTTTGCCCCTGTGTCTTTAAGATTTTTACCTACTTTGTCTTTCAGTAGATTTAGTATTCTGTTTTAATATTTAAAACTAGACCTGTGTCTATCATCATGCACTAAACTAAAGATTTATATAATCTTAAATAATAAATTGTGAACAAAAAGAGGATATGGCCATGCAAACAGAGATTGATGTGAGACAGTCAGGTTCCAAGAACACCACCAACTGCTAGAAGAGAAACAGTGAAGAAGGGAATTTTTCCTGGAGCTTCCAGAAGGATCCACTCTTTCCTTTAAAATGAGGATAAATTGATATATTATTACCTGCTAAAAAGTATTCCAGATTTCTCATCTCCAAAAATGGAGAATAAATTGTTGCTTTAAGCCACTCCATTTGCAGTGATTTGTTGTATCAGTTATGAGAACTAAAGCAGAAGAATCCAGACCCAGATCTGCTGAGATCTGGAGCCTGAAGTTTTCCCATTACTTTACACTATCAGTGATTCAATTAGAGACATGGGAATTGAATGCAAAAAAAAAAAATTGATACCTTGTGCCAATTTGAACATTCATTCCCAAGATTTGGAACTTAGTATTCAATTAGATGATGGAATTATTGGTACAATTAATTCATTGGAAGCATCTCATTTATTGACTTTTGGCTTAAAAGCAAAAGCATCAAAGAAATTTACCACTTAAATTCACCTAGTCAGTAATTTTGACACATACAATTCCAAAACATACTTTCAACTCATATATTCAAATATCAAGCCAAAAGGGTTTTTGCTGTTTTGCTTTTGACTCATATTATTTAAAATGCCACTAATTTCATAAATCTAAGCTCACCTTTATCAACAATTTTACATATTTTTATTGATTTTTGTCTTATGACACTGTTAACCACATAGGAATCTAAGCACCTGGATTCTTTCTATCATTAGTGTCTTCTGCATTACTTAGCTCTTTGACATTGATCAGTCAACTGCCATCTCTGGGCCTCAGCCTCTGCCCTTGTAAACTGGAGCCATAGTAGAAGCTTGCAAAGCAAATCAACTCTAAGCTTTCTTCCAATTTTGAAGACAAAGTAATAGTAGCAAGACTTCTAAGAATTCAAATGTGCTCATTAACACAAGGTGCCACTAGAGGTCAGATTAAGTTTAGTAATCCTATCTAATCTGGGCTGCAGAGGCTTGCCCGAGATCCACGCCTTGCTTAGCAGGTCTGCACTTACTACATCGATTTCTGAATTTATGTCTCTAAGCCTTATGCCCTTCTTGAGTTTTAGACTTTTTCATCCTAATGTTTCTGCGTTAATAAATATC